AGAGATTCTCCTGCCTTAGCCTCCTGAGTAGCTAGGACTATAGATGTGCACCACCATGCCTGGCTAATTTTTATATATTTTTTTTTAAGTAGAGGCAGGGTTTTACCATGTTGGCCAGGTTGGTCTTGAACTCCTGACCTCAAGTAATCCTCCTGCCTTGGCCTCCCAAAGTGCTGGGATTACAGGTGTGAGCCACCTCACCCAGGCTGAATGTTTACCTTTTTTTTTTCTTTCTGACAGAGTCTTCCTCTGTCGCTCAGGCCGCAGTGAAATGGTGCGATCTTGGCTCACTGCAACCTCCACTTCCTGAGTTCAAGCAATTCTCCTGCTTCAGCTTCCTGAGTTATTGGGATTACAGGCACCTATCACCACCCCTGGCTAATTTTTGTATTTTTAGTAGAGACTGGGTTTCACCATGTGCCATGTTATCAGGCTGGTCTCGAACTCCTGACTTCAGGTAATCATTCTTAAACAGAAGGCTAGGAAAGGAAAAACTGGGAAGAACAACTAACACAACAAATAGCAAAAACAATTCGAAAGAATGCCGATTAGCTGGAACAATAAATCAAAACCCAAAACTAAGCCTCCTGTTTCCTCAGTGTGGTCGATCCAGATATCCACCTTATGTAACTGCTTTCTGGTGACTTCCCTATGGAACGGCTAGATGCAGCCTGCTTAATGGTCCCACTGGCCCTCACACCCCACAGGGATTGTTCATATGTGCCACAGCAGCCACCTCTTAGTCACTGTGTGACCTACTAGAACCCATGCCTGCTTACCTTACACCCACCAATTCAAACTCCTCTTGTGAAACCTGTTTGGATAACACCCTGGACCCAGTAAAGGCATTGGCCCACAGGTCTCTTCCTCTGTCTCTCCCTGTGCTTCCTGACATCCCTGCATGTGGCCTCCAGGTATGCTGTGTACCCCAGAACCTATAAGCAATAAAATCTTTATTTTTCTCTTATGTCTCTCATAATTATTGAAGGGATGCTTTCCATCTTAAAGATCGTAAATTGAAACAATGTGGGAAAAACAGCAGTTAGTTAAGTAATGCAGATTTGTTGGGAGTGCTAACAGCCTGACTACATTATTTAATCAGTGTCTACTACTGAATCGTAGCACTCGTAGATCAAATATGAAATAGTGCTTTTAATTCTAGGTACCACATCTTAAACTAAAGAATAGGCAGTGAAAGATGAAAAATGATGGAATCTAAAAAAAAATTTTAAATAAGTAAAAGAATTGTTAGGCCGGGCGCAGTGGCTCAAGCCTGTAATCCCAGCACTTTGGGAGGCCGAGGCGGGTGGATCACGAGGTCAAGAGATCGAGACCGTCCTGGTCAACATGGTGAAACCCCGTCTCTACTAAAAATACAAAACATTAGCTGGGCATGGTGGTGTGTGCCTGTAATCCCAGCTACTCAGGAGGCAGAGGCAGGAGAATTGCCTGAACCCAGGAGGCGGAGGTTGTGGTGAGCCGAGATCGAGCCATTGCACTCCAGCCTGGGTAACATGAGTGAAACTCCGTCTAAAAAAAAAAAAAAAAAAAGAATTGTTGCTTAGCTTGGAGATAAAAAGACTCAGTTGAGATTAGATGGCTGGCCTTAGGTACTACAAGAACCAATGTAAGGACTTACTCAGAGTCCTCCAAATAAAGATAAGCTAGAACCAGAAAATTAAGTTACAGAAATATTTCAGTTCTCTCTTAGCTACTGGAGCTGTCTATCTATGGAAAAGCCTGTCCTAGGAAGACCTGAATCACCATTTTTGGAAAGAGGAGAGGAGATGGACATGGAAGAGATGTTAAATCAGAAATTTAAGAAAAATGATTCCATGTACTGAGTACTCTTTAAAGTCTTTTAAAATAGATAGTTCTTTAAGATAATCTTTATTTTATTAACTGTTCCACATTTAGCAGAAAAAGCTGAAACAAATGACTGAAGTTGAAAACTTTCAAAAAGGATCTTGTTGTCAATTTAAAAAATTGCTATCCTACCCCTGCAATTCTGAGCCCTACTGATATCAAGAATTTGGCACCTAAGGGAAGAATACTTCCATCAGGGGATACCATGGTAGTTCCCCTGAAATAGAAGCTGAGGTAACTACCTGGTAATTCCAGTTTCCTTCATAGGCAATAAAGGGGCCATGGCTAGAGTGATTCTC